AAACTTCTAGGATGGCGCAGTGCTTGTGTAATGAAAGGCATGGTAAGTATCAAAAGGGAATTAAGCTGCATTCGTAGAGCGAGAACTGTTGCACGGAAATTCATCAGTGTGCTTTGACAAGGCATGCATGAATGTTCATGTTCTAAACCCGGCTGCAGGCAAGCGCGTTTTATGTTTACCTCTGGTACGCTGTCACCACAGCTCAACACCGTAGATTTGATGAAATATGTAGCTGTAAGCGCCACAAAATACCGAAGCCAAGGAAATACATGTTCTGAAAGCATAATGGAATTTTAGCACACTACCATGTGGAAGAGTGATGCATTTTACGTTTTCTAGGCAAAGGCGGTGATGTGGGCTTACCAGGCGATGTACATTGCGTGCCTCTTGCATTGAGTCGCCTAAACTAGTGCCTCTTTGGCGGTCTGTGTCGCACAATTTGGAAGTGTTTGGGTAATTGAGCGGGAGCATTATCCAGCTTACACCCGAGAGCCATTTCATTTTCACCGCGATCACAATTCACGGTAAATAAATGCTTCTAAAGCGTCATCTGCCAAGGCCATTTTGCAACGTTCGAAAACCAATCTTGTCACGCCAGCTTCTTTGCGCGATTAGGAAAACACCTTGCCGCGACTGATTCTGCGTGCGACTGTCATGCATTTGCGACCCTAATGGGATCAGCCCGTCGCGAGTTGTCTTTAATCGGTCTGTTGTGTGATGCAATGGCACAAGGCATCCTAGTCACGCCAATATGCGATCAGAATCATGTCGATGGAATCAGAAGATTGCCAACATCATATATATATATATATATATATATATATATATATATATATATATATATATATAATATCATTATTTGGTTTGAGTGCAGTATTTGCATCTGCAAGAAACCGCAAGTCATGGTACAAGCAAGCAGAAAAGTGTAATGATATATTTAGCACCGATAGTTCTCGAACCTAGGTGCCGCCTTCGCCGTCCACATGTGATGCTCTTCGCACCTGCTGCTACACCTCCGCTGCAGCGCCTCTCAAAAACTGGCTCGGCCTGAACTGTCCATGCAATACCAGCCCGTCCTCCTCGCCGCAGCCGGTTGCGTGTTTGTGCGAGGGCGGGCGTCGGAGTTGGCGGCGCCGCCGGGGGATGTCGGCACGGCGCGGTGCGTCCGCACCGGCCCGAGAGAGCAGGGGTGCGGTGACGCCGCTCGATGCCACATGATTCACCTGTGCGCCGCGTATCGACCACTCCCGGCCGGCCAGGTGGGGCGCCGCGCACCGCACGTGCTGCCGGCCGCCGCACCGCCGGGCGCGTCAGCCCTCATGCGGCGCGCCGCACCGCGGAGCGGCGGCAGGGCACAGGCGATTGTGGCAATCGATGTTTGGTTTACGGGGCAGAGGCGGATACAAGCATCTCGACAGAGGGGCAACGAAGTGAATGACAGTTCTGTTAGTCGGAACGATGGTCTTTGCTTGTGTGACGGGTGGATGCTGGTGTTGACAGAGGCGGCATCGCACGTACCCGCTCCCCTCCATAACACCATAGCACCCAGTGATTTTCGCACCTCAGTGATATTCACGAGGCTGAATGTGCGCGAAGACATCTGAGTTCGCGTCCCAGAAAACGCACTTTCATGACTCGTCAACGGCGGCAAAGGCGCGGCTGACTGGCAGGGTCAAGCTGGCATGAGCAGCCGCACCGCAGCGCTGCGGAAACGTTAGAATAGTATTTTGGCGACATGGTCCGCTGAACTGGTAGCGCTCTATCAAGTCATTGGGATCAGTTAGTGGGTACCCGCTATAGTTTGCCACGCGAGCTATATCTAGCAGACACTGGGATCCCAAAACCGTCCCTAGAAAGTGTCTGAATACATTTATGCAAACAGAGACGCGTGGAGGACATGGCGTATCAATCAGGCTGATCGACCTCTACAAGGCACTGCCGGATTCAGCGACTGCCTCGTTTTCGTGTGCATCCAAGGTAGGAAGGGGCCGCGATTAAAAATACATTGACTGGGGTGACGTGCGCGTACACAGATCAATATCAGAATATCAGCGACGTCTCTCCCCTCCACTTCCCCAGCGGTGTGTGCCCATGGCTTTTGTGTCGCATTCTGACTGAAGGCCGCACCAGCAACCCCAATGACGTCACCCGCCAGCCGACAACATCACCTGCTCGATTACTGGCGGTGAATATCGATTTGCAAGCCCGCGACGGCCCATGGTATCAGCGCCATGTCATTGTTGATCCTGATGTTCTTTGTGTGACTGGCACGAGCGTGTCTTGGGGCATGGTCAGGTCTGGGTGGATGCGGGGTCGATGGCGAGGACGATCATAAATCGGGTTTAGTTCATCGCTGGAAATAGTGATGATATAAATTGACTGTATATCTATAGTTTCTCACGATCATTCTATCGACAAACTTCTCTCGCTTCTCGACCACCTTGCGATATATGTCACGGTGTATATCGGCCACCTCCAGAAAACAAAATAAAGACCCCACAGATTTGAAATTATTCAAAATGGAATCTCCTCTCCTCACCACGCTGCTTTTAGATGCTAAGTGGGTAAAATTCTGAACAACGCAGGTACGACCGAGTCATCCATATCTGCAGGCTACAATACAGAACACAGCCACTGCTTCAATCAGTTAAACGCGAAGTCACACAGCCAAACGAAGAACGGTGGATAACCTCAGACCTAAAAAGGAAGAATAGAGCCCGACAGGCTGTTCAAAATTGCAAGGCAAGCTCAATGCAATTGCAGCTGGGATGCACGGAGATATTCAACGTGACATGCTTACAGCCATGGATAGACGTCAAAAAGGAATATTTGTGGAACCAAGTTAAAAAATACCGACTAAAAAAGAAAGCAATCAACCCTCATAAATATCGTCAACAATGCGCACCATGGTGAGATGAAACTGAGATGACACCATTCCATCAGTACAACCTGCCGGCCGCGACATCACAACTGACGAACATCACTAAAAAACCACTTTGCCTCACAATCCACGCTGAACATGTCACGGGCTTCCATATGCTACCACCAAGCAAACGTATTAAAGCTTTACGAAACATTGAAGAGGCATTCGAGGAGGCATTCAAGGAAGCATTCGTTATTGTATTCGTGCGCCACAGTTGCGCCTGTGGCGTAGTTTCGCAAAACAGGTTGGGGTTTGAAGGATGAAAAATGATGAAAGATACCCCCAAAATATGCCCCCAAAACTATGCCAGCAAGCTAGCCTCCCGCCAGATTTGTTCCACTTCCTTCTAAAAGTTAGGGGGAGGGGTGGGGAAGGCTGAAGCCCCTCAACTGAATGACGAACGTACCCGGGTTGTACAATTCGCTTTACAATCTCACCCTTTGCTTTCTCTGAATCATTAGTCTGGGCTCCGTCTTAAGCAATAACTCGAAGAAGTAAGTGCTCGATCATGACACTATGATAATACGCCAAGCCGCGCCTCATTTATACAGCCAATACGGCGTCAAACGGCTTACACGCCTCGTGCAGTCGGTGTGTGGAGTTAACGGCCATGATTCGGCAGCCTTCATCCCGTGTTTTCAGGCGGCCACATGATGCATGATGGAAAGACATGGGGTCGGCCTGGGCACGGCTGCTTCATCAGGGGCTGATTATGAGGCGGCCGTCCGGACGTATTCCGCTGCCAGCCCGGGCTGACCTCCCTGACCTCCCCGCCGCGCCCCGTCGGGCTCAGCTGACGAAGCGCCCGTGGACCGCGCGCCGAGGCAGTGGCTGTGCGGCATTCCGCTGAACCGGCCGAGCTGGTAGCCGGGCCGCGTCTGCCAGATGGTATCGTGGCGCGCCATGTTTCGCCGCGGTTCGTATCGTCGCGTTGAGAACAAACGTGCCCGTTTCCCGTTTCACGGGGTGAATTTGTACTTCAGCTAACAGACAGCCCGAGTTTTGGATTCGCCATTTTCTAGCTGAACTCGGCGCTCTACAGTTTAGGTATGACGGTATTAAAGCAGCCCCTACCAAAACGCGTTGCTCGCGCGAGTGCTGCATGACGTTTTTCCTACCAGCCTACACAGTTGGGGTGTTACGGACATGCTTTTCGGAGGGTTGTTGATCGAATTCCTTCCCGCCGAGTTTGATGAGTCTGGCACCAAATGCAAAGTTGTTGCGCAACCTCGCGCATGTCTGTTAACCTTCTGTCTAGAGGGGCCGAGCTCCCACGGCGTGCCGGTTCAATGTTATCATGCACAGTGTCAATAACTTTCCGACTTTTGAAGCACGCCACTCAGAATCTGAGGCACAGTTGGCAGCGCGCCAGGTCCATAATTGCGAGCTGGTGCGTTCGGGCTCGATACGACGGAGGACTCTTTTGCCAATTCCCTATGAGATACGAAGGAGTTTGCTGATAGTCAATGCCTGCTGAAAAGGTAATGCAGCATTTAGTCGGGTGATTCCTTACAAAACTCTGGTACAACATCCAGTTAAATACGAAAAACACCAGCGTCTGCGCTACGCTGCCACCAATGACATGCTGGCAAGTGCTCGGTGGAAACTGAAGTCCTTGCACTCTATTCCACGTTTAGTCAATTCTAGCATTTAAATGAAATTGATGTCCCGAACCTCGTCCCTCCCGACTTTTATTGCCCCAAGATCCAAGAGATAGGGCATATAAGACTGATTTTTTCATAACGTGCGGAGATAAGTATGATCACAAAAGCACTTTTCAATCCCGTAAAGTCCGCAGAACTGATATAATGCCGCTTGCGCGCCGTCATCGGGCATAGCACTGACGCTGGCGTGATGGAGGCACCGTGCACACGAGTTCTATATGGCCTATGTCAAGGTCGAAATTGGTAAGAACGCCAGTTCAAATAGAAGCGCCTGGCAAAACAACAGATAACAAACACATAAGGGCAGTGTGCTCTCACTTTCGTGCATCCCACTCCAAAACGCTTGTTTTTTGGTACGTCAAACACCTTCAATCGACATCATCTATCAGCAAAAAGCCAAATAAATCGCACATAGTTTATTACAAGAGTACCACCTCACTCGCAAAGCTTCCTCCACAGGACTCAAGCTATTCCTCTGCGATAGCAGGCGTCACCAGCCCAAAGCCATGCGGGATACGTTCAGAACGCACTGACAGCCAACTGAGACACCTTTTTAGAGGAGCGGTTCTCGGATCACATAGCAGCACCCAGCAACATCTGTCCATACGTCATACGATTATACACTGACGATCCTATAACAAAAGAACCAACTCTCGGATACTTCCACTCTCTTGTCTAATACGCACAGTAGCAGTCTGAATAAATAGTGACTCTTCCACAGCGCCGCGCGGCGCTCAGCTCCGCCCGGCTGCGGGGGCGTGTCGCCCCACTGACACACTGGACGCCCGATGTGACACCCCTGCCGGGCGTCCGCACACGGCCGCTGTCTGCAGAGCCGACGCCCAGAGCGCGGGCGTCGGCTGGCGGAGCGCGCCGGCGGACGGGGCGAGAGGCGACAGCCGGGCGCGGCTCGAGGCCCACCCCATACGGGGCGGGGCCCGACGGCGGGCCACCCACAGGTCAGGTCGCGCAGGCCACACCCGGCCGCCACCGATCCGCGAGAGCTAAGACTAGAGGCGGTGAAAAGCTTTGGCGACTCTACGTGAGTTTACACATCAGACGACGGTGACGGGCCCAGCCTGCCTACGTCAGTTTAGTGTACGAGGGCGGCGAGAAGCGACGCGTCAAGAACTTGAGGACGTAGAGCGGCAGACAGCTGACCAGCGTGATGGCCAGCACCTTCCACAGGAAGTCGACACTCTGGATGAACTCGCGGTCTGAGACAAAGACACAGAGACAAGCGTTATCGACGGCAGGGACACGGGAGACACGCGTTACCGACACAGGAGGCGGACGGTGTCTGGACGCCGGAGCAGTCACTGAAAACGCCCCGATGAGGACGTCAGACACGGTCACTTCGCGCTGAAAACCCCACACGATGGTACCTGTTCGTTTTCGGTACGCACTGCACCCCACCACCCCACCCAGCGCTGCACAGCGTCCGGCCGCAGCACGACGGCACATCCCGAGACACATAGCAGGCGAGTCACACCAGGCCCCCGGCGCTGCGACCGGCGCGTGCTGACACACGAGTGCTGCCAGGCGCCATGTCCGCGGTCACCGAGTGCATAGGCCGCTGGTCGTCATTAATCACCGGCGGCCAGCCGCATAGGCGCCTCTGGCTATCGATCCAGGTCGTTTTTGCTGGTGTCGCGGACTTCCCCCACATCGCCTGAGGCGCCCTCCCTTTTTGACTAATCAGGACTGATTACAGCTGCCGTTGAGGCTGTGCTGCAGCCTGTCGACTGGGCACGTCGACCTTCAAAGGCTTCGAGGTACTGAACCGCGTTTGTATGGGGTTGGGAACTGATATAGCCCATTGGTTGCGAACGAAAAAGCCATCGAGTACACCTCGGCCGTTACCATACGGTGCGTTATTAGATAGTCCATATGTGCAATACACCTAGGAGAACTCTGGTGCACCCAACGCAAATTATGAGAAAATTGAAACGTACAATATCTATCAACATTATCGAGCCAAGCCACCAAGCCACCACTTTTGCACATGTGCACCACATTCTGTGCAGTTAGCCTCTACGCAGTGCTCAGCATACAGATGAGCACATTCTTATGGAATGAATACACTGACACCCACCATGCTAGTTCACGCATATGCAGAAAATATCATTCGAATCGGATCATTTGGATCGGATCGGGTCAGGAAATATCATCAGATCAATAGTGAGTGCCCCGCTGGTTGTGACATAAGCCGCACGTAACAACATAGCAAACCATGCAGAGCACGAGCAGAAATACTGAGTCTTCAATAAGATCTGAAGGCCACCCAAGCAACCGACATCCCCCGAGCTACACAGGTTGTCATCAATGCCAGCACAATGGCGACATCTTCCTGTTCATTCGTGGATGCGAGATGTAGGATGCTTGCGGCTAAGGCAACCCAGCGTTTCCAAGAGCTGAGTTTGCTTTGTTTAACTCACGCCCGACGAGGGAGAGAGCCTGACAGGTGCGCCTATTAATTTTTGAACTAAGACAATTCGAGCGTTGGTATAAATAAAACCAGCGCGCTGCTTGCAGCCTAAGCTATCTAAATAAATTTGGGTTTTAAGCCCCGGGCCAAAATGTGATATTCCAAGTAACGACTGACCTTCAACAGACCAATTGTTCTCGCCGCCATAATTTCCAAACATGAAAATAGAGTGATCCCGGAAAAAGCAGTGTTCTTTGCTTTCTTGCGATTCTGGCAACACACTCTCCGGGCTCCCCCTAAGCCGTTTCCAAGTAAACAAATCCTCACAAGCTTTTGTTTTACCGGACTTCGTGCTGGCCCCCACTTCTCCAAATGTACAGCAGTCCCTTTCAGACTATTCTCGCCGCCTCCGGCTTTTCCCTGGCAGTATTCAAGTGCGGGACAATGGCGCTGACGATCCGCGCGCTTACACAAGCTCGGGACGAACCGCATCCAGCAGCCAACAGGTCAGAGCTCAGCACAGACAGCTGGGCAGAAGGCCGGAGTACCAGCACAGACAACTGGGCAGAGGTGTGACGTGTGTGGAGTCCTCCGCTCTATAAATTGAGATCCAGAGCTGGCGGTCCTCGGATATTGGCTTAGTCGATGCCGAGAGGTGTGTACACTAGCTGCCAGCGGGAAAGTGACGCTGCATCAGTCAGTAAGCGCAGGGAGCGGCTCCGTGCCGTCTCGGCCGAGCGCGTCACCCCGGCGCGTTCAGCACTCACCAAACACGTCGCGGAAGATGATCATGGAGAGGATGTAGGTGCCGAATGAGAACACCTCGGCGGCCACCATGAGGTAGTGCCAGGTGCGGATGGTGAGGGCCACCATCAACAGCTCGGTCACGATCAGGGCTGAGAAGCTGATGGACACGATGTGGATAAACTCGTCCTCGAACAGCCAGATGGCGCCGTACATCAAAATACCACCTGCCGGGGGTGGCGGGAGGGGTCAGACACGGCCTGTCGGACACTGTATCCCAGTGATACCGAAATGACGTGGAACCAAATGGCACTAGCGTGGTCATGGGAGACCAATCGCTCCGTTCAAATCTACCTGCACTTGGTGCCGTTCACATTCACTGAGGCGGCCCGTGACGTCATCACTGTGGAATGTTACATACGTGTGTACGCAATGTCTCAACGAAAAAGAGACGATGGCCTCGACCACTACCTGATTCGTTCTCGACCATGCGCCATCGAGTGTCAAATGGAACATCGTCGACGACAGAGACGTCACGCCCCACATTGGCCTTCCTCTAGTCTGCCTGCTCCCCAGCGCCGGCTGGCGGCACTCACCCTGATAGATGCTGATGGCGACCCACATGAAGAAGGTCTTGTACGAGAGCGAGCGCCCCTTAGTCAGTTCCTTGTACAGCTCCGGGTAGGTGAGCGCGATCTTGGCCGGCACGTCACGGTCCAGCACCAGCGAGAACACCGGGAAGTTGGTGTACACCGTGGCGTACCTGCGTCGCGCCAACGGGAGGTCAGGCGGCGTTTTCAGTCGAGCGGACAGACATCGGGGCACGGCGGCGGGCCCCGGACCGCCGCGCGCTCGTATGCTCTCGACACGCAAATGTATGGCGAACGGGTTCGATTAAGACCCGACCGAGCGCCGCAGTGAACTGCCGCCTTCGGTACAGAGCCGACCGAGCGCCGCAGCGAGCTGCAGCCTTCGGTACAGAGCCGACTGAGCGCCGCAGTGAGCTGCCGCCTTCGGTACAGAGCCGACTGAGCGCCGCAGTGAGCTGCCGCCTTCGGCACAGAGCCGACCGAGCGCCGCAGCGAGCTGCAGCCTTCGGTACAGAGCCGACCGAGCGCCGCAGCGCTGCCGCCTTCGGTTCAGAGCCGACCAAGCGCCGCAGCGCTGCCGCCTTCGGTTCAGAGCCGACCGAGCGCCGCAGCGAGCTGCCGCCTTCGGTTCAGAGCCGACCGAGCGCCGCAGCGAGCTGCCGCCTTCGGTACAGAGCCGACCGAGCGCCGCAGTGAGCTGCCGCCTTCAGTTCAGAGCCGACCGAGCGCCGCAGTGAGCTGCCGCCTTCAGTTCAGAGCCCACCGAGCGCCGCAGAGAGCTGCCGCCTTCGGTACAGAGGCGACCAAGCGCCGCAGTGAGCTGCCGCCTTCAGTTCAGAGCCGACCGAGCGCCGCAGTGAGCTGCCGCCTTCGGTTCAGAGCCGACCGGGCGCCGCAGCGCTGCCGCCTTCGGTTCAGAGCCGACCGAGCGCCGCAGCGCTGCCGCCTTCGGTTCAGAGCCGACCGAGCGCCGCAGCGCTGCCGCCTTCGGTTCAGAGCCGACCGAGCGCCGCAGCGCTGCCGCCTTCGGTTCAGAGCCGACCGAGCGCCGCAGCGCTGCCGCCTTCGGTTCAGAGCCGACCGAGCGCCGCAGCGCTGCCGCCTTCGGTTCAGAACCGACCGAGCGCCGCAGCGCTGCCGCCTTCGGTTCAGAACCGACCGAGCGCCGCAGCGCTGCCGCCTTCGGTACAGAGCCGACCGAGCGCCGCAGTGAGCTGCCGCCTTCGGTTCAGAGCCGACCGAGCGCCGCAGAGCTGCCGCCTTCGGTACAGAGCCGACCGAGCGCCGCAACGCTGCCGCCTTCGGTTCAGAGCGAACGATCACAGGTGGGCACAAGGCCGTCATAAGCGTACTGCTGGCACGGCTGCCGGTGCGCCACAGGAGCGCTGCCTGCTGGCGGCGTGACCCAGACCAGCGCAAGACGCCCCGTGTTTGACAGGCACAACACCCGGCGGCGTCCGGCGGCCGCCGTCTTCGGGGGACACTGACCCGATCATCAGCACGCCCTGGTAGAGCGCGATCGAGGCGAAGTAGAAGACGGAGGAGAAGACGGCCTGCATGGTGGAGATGATGAGGCCGCGGTGGATGACGAACTGGCTCAGCGAAGCCGAGCGGTGGTACGAGTACCGGCCGTGCACCAGCAGCAGTCTGCAATATGCACACTTTATCACGCACGGTTTGGTGGTGCAGCGTCCCAGGTCTTACGAAGATTCTTGCGCCGCACATTGTAATTTGAGGTTATCGTGTACAATGACGGCTCCTGCAAATACCACGTATCTGCAAACCTACTCACGATGCACAATGGACCGATTTCAGTTCAGCGCTAGCCCTGGTTAAGTCGCACTGGCCGTGGCCAAACAGGTGAATGGCGATAGACGGTACAGCACCATCCGGTCCCCCAGAGACGCAAGACAGTCGTTCAATGTGGGCACATCAGTAGGGCTTTGTGCTTAAGCCGCGACGTGAACTTTCCAGCCACTCAAAAATCAGCCACCAGAGGTACCACATCGGGCGCAGGCACCCGGCAGCCGCCAAAACGTGTTTGGGATTCTGGCTCTTGCATCTCATTTATCCGTCTATTTATATTCATCTCATATATTCCCCGACAGTGCACCACCTCAAGCGGCCGGTCCGGCCGCGGGCTGGCGACCCCCTGGCTGGCGCGCCGCCGCCAAAGGCGGGCGACGGGCGGAGGCTGCAGACGCGGCACGCACCTGGCCAGATGGCAGAACTTGATGATGCTGAAGTCGGCGGCCAGCGAGGCCTGCCGGCCCTCCTTGCCGACGATGCCTATCCCGCAGTCCGCCGCCTGTCGCCGGGCGGAGACGGCACGGCGTCAGGCGATCGCGCTCGATCATTGGACGGCCTCCGTGACGTCACGCCACAGCCGAGGATGCGACACGCGTACGGGCGGTACGCCCGGCGCTCAGGGGGCTGACGCAGTCGCAGCGCCAATGTCATCGAACGGGTGAGAAGCTCACGGAGTTCATTAACAACTGGGAAAAACCCGCCTTTGCTGTTTGGTATATACGTCGATTGCCTACAGAGCAAATCCCGCACAAAGCCGCCGGAGTCCGTCTGACAGCGTCCTGTTGCCGACACGACCCCGCCCACCTGGATCATGCTGACGTCATTGCCGCCGTCGCCGATGGCCGCCGTGCGCTTGCCCGTGTGCCGCTGGATGAGCTGCACCACGGCCGCCTTCTGCGTGGGCGAGCAGCGGCAAACGACCACCGCCGGGCACGCGCACGCCAGCTCCATGAACTCCAGCTCGTAGTAGCGCAGGCAGATCTGGCGGCCGCGGTCAGCGCGCGGTGACGGGAGAATCGTCGCGGCTCGCAACGCGTGGAAGCGGGACACGCGCCGGCCCCACGCGACGCCCGCGGCTGAGAGTCACGGGGCGTGAAGACGGTAACTGGGTGGTAAGCCATGAGCCCAAAAAGAAGAATTGGTTGAAAATCTGGCTTGCCAAGAACTGCCATGCCACACACGTAATGTTTCCGCTGCAGCGAAAATTCCTAAAATTATAAAACCAAAGCCTTCCGATTCGCTGCGGCTAATCAGCGGTGAAGGTCACACGTGTTCGATATCGCGGGTCAGCGCGGGTCAGCGTGTCAACACTAGACTCGCCGTGAGTCAAACTCTGGTGCGGCGGGTCTGGCGCCAAACACGCGAAAGCCTCCACGCACTGCATTGCAAACGAATTTGATCACTTAATGGGTCGTCAAAAATGGACAGGATTGGACAGGGGTGATGCTCTTCGACGATTCGTCGGCACCAAATCCAACCAGTCCGGCGCAATCGACCGTTTCGACTTCTTTATGATTTAGACGTTCTCGGTCCATAACCCCCGGCGCTCAACGATTACCCGTTTGCAAAATGGTACCTTAGTCCCCGCTCCTGACAAGCTGCTGCTTCGCAGATGACATGTAGCATTTATCGACATTCCTTCAGTCCTGTGGAAATTCCCGACAACCCTTGCTGGGACCGAACTCCGAACTCTTCGAACACTGGGTCCTTCTCCGAGCCTTGTAATAAAAAATTTGCGACGCCGACATACACCCATCAGGGTCGCATTGATCCAGTGCACCACTGAGCCAGACGCTGAGCTCAACGTCGGCAAAAATACCGGGGGCCATCGGGGGACCGCGGAACACGTCACACAGTCCACCTCATGTTAGGCTGAACCTCGAATAACGAGCTGGGTTGGCTTCTAATTGGGAATTCCGCGATCTACCCTGCTCTGTAACGAATAAAGTAGCCCACAGTCAGCTCAGACCTGATCAGGACAGGCACGGCTATGTCGGCTCGTCAGGTTAAGCAAGATCAGCACAGCTCAGAACGCATCGGGTCGGCGCAGGTCAAGTCAAAGCAGTACAGGCCAAAAAACATCAGATCCGGTCAGCACACCGCCACAGCCCACCTCCATGGCGTCGCCCTTGATGACCAGGGCCGAGTCGTTCTTGCGGCGGAACGCGTTCAGCTCCTGGTGGGCCTCGGCCCGGCTGGTGATGGCCGGGAACAGGTGCAGGTTCTGGGCGCGCGACACCAGCCGCGACGACTGGGCGATGCACGAGGCCGTCTCCAGCTTGTCGCCGGTCAGCATCCATGTCTGCGGACCGGCGGCCAGCCGTCAGTCAGACCGGTGCTCTAGTGCTCCGGCGAGCCAGTCCATCAGCTGGCCGGTGCTCCAGCGCACCGGCGAGCCAGTCCATCGGCCGGCCGGTGCTCCGGTGCACCGGCGTGCCGGTCCGTCGGCCGGCCGGTGCTCCAATGCTCCGGGGAGCCAGTCCGTCGGTCGCCCGGTGCTCCAGCGCACCGGCGAGCCAGTCCATCGGCCGGCCGGTGTTCCAGTGCGCCGGCGGCCAGCCATCAGCCGGCGGGCAGCAGTGAATCGCATCCATGCGTCCCCGCCGCCATATGCCACGGATCGGTGCGCCGATCAATAGAATCCGGAGTGGACGCATCAATGACAGCGAATCAGTGCATTGGATACATTTGCGAGATGTCACGGGTTAATCAATGGCATCAGTTACGTAATTGACGTGTTAGGCTAGCGTCAGGCAGTGGTACGACGAGATTCAATGACAAGACGCGTGTTGTGGCCGAAGCATCCACTTCGGCACCAACGGCTCGGGAAATACAGCGATTTTCCTTTACCCGTAGTGAGTTGACGCATTTCCGGGGCGTCCCAAATCCATAAATATGAATTTAAATCAAAGAGTTCGTGGTAAATCGATGCAATCAGCATTGGCTTAAGGGGGAGGCGGAGGGGGTGTCGAGATCCATGATAGCCGCTACCAAGATCCGAACGGCGAATAAAGACGGCTTCCGTAACCCGCAGGACTCAGACTCGGAGTCTAACGCGTCGCACACACACGCAGGCCGTACCTTACGTGACATTGGTATGAAAAGTAGGCATCCTCCGCGTCCACGGAGCTACACGTCAAGTTTGGAAGACCCAGCTTTGTGGCCCAAGAGAGATGTTTAGATGTTACAAGATGTTACGAGATGTTGTGGCCCAAGCGAGATGTTACACCCCCCCCCCCCCCCGGCCCGGACCAGTGACACCTTCCGTGTGACGCGCACCCCCGTGACGTGAATGCTGCAGATGTGCGACTGACGGCGCGCTGCCCGTGTCCCGCGCCGCCGATCGGCTCGAGACCACCGCCAGTGTGTCCGTTGAGCCAGCGCATCAGGTGGTACCTCCCGGGTCACGACCCATCGGCACCGCTGGGCGTACCCGTCAAACGCATGCGCACAGATCTACCCCAGGTCCTGAACTTCCCAGAGCGAGCGTCATGCATGAAATCGCGCCTCGCTAAAAAAGTGCAAAGCACGCTTTTTGCTCTTTTGGTTTCAAAATAGCACCATGATCTTTTTTAAAATAGGAATTTCCTATTGTCCACATACACGGAAGCATTCGGCCACCACCTGGCTATGATAGCTGTCTCAACAGCCTCATTTCGCGGGCATCCCAGCGGCACCGTGGTCGGACAGTGGCGCACGTCCACCGGGTCCACAGCCGCCTGCGAGCCCCCAGCTCGACACCAGGCCACCACTGAGGCGTTCTCCAGCACCACTGGACCCGGCGCCGCCGCAGCTCCGGACGTTACCTTGATGCCAGCGTTGCGGAGGAGCTCGAGGGTGGGCCGCACGTGGTCCTGCAGCCGGTCCTCGACTCCCGTCAGGCAGAGCAGCTCCATCTCGCGCTCCAGAGACTCCACCACGGCCGACACCTGGCGGCGAGGCGGGCCGAGTCATGACCCCGTCCCGGTGAGAGCTACCACCTCTGAGCTCCGCTCTGGGGACAGTGTCGCGGCCGGCGCCTGGCATCACGGTTAACGAGCCCAGCTGCGACAGGAAGGGACAAACCAGCGGCAAACCGCCGCATACGTATGTCTTCATGTGCAACGCAGGTGCTTTTTAAAACAAAGCCAGCCCGGATCTCTTCAGTGGGTGGATTCTGGCGATCAGTGCCCACGCTAAGCAGCGCTTGCCGCGCGGGTCCTAGTCCTGACATCCCCATCCGATCGCAAAACCCCTGATCAACGGCAAAAACGTCGCGGCGAAAGTTAAATGTAATGCTCGGCACGGTCCGTCCTGCCCTCTGACGTCACCTGACCCTCAGCACTGGTCGCAGGCCATCCCAGGCGCTTTATGAAACTCGAACCTACCAAGGCCAGCGTGAACGAATCAAGACAGGTACTCTAACCATCTCAGCTTGCAGGGCCGACAAGGGCATAGACACTCATGAAGCCGACCCCCAAAACGCTACCACGATTGTCGCTTCCCGTGTCCAGTCGGGACCTTCGCCTCCCTCCGTCAACTCCCATCCCTCCTCCTCCACCCTGCAGCACCTGACGGCGCCCCATCGCCGGTCACGCACCTTCGCTGCCCTCCGCCTACTCCCATCCCTCCTCCTCCACCCTCCAGCACCCGACAGCACCCCATCGCCGGTCGCGCACCTTCGCCGCCCTCCGCCTACTTCCATCGCTCCTCCTCCACCCTCCAGCGGTCACGCACCTTCGCCGCCCGGTCCGTCACAGACAGCTTGGCGGCCGTGTAGCGCTGCTCAAACTCGGCATACTGCTCGGGCGTCAGCCGCTTGCTAGCCACGACCAGCGTGCGCAGTCCCTCCCGCGCCAGGTTGTCGCACTCCTCCTCCAGCCAGTCGCTGTACAGCACGATCGACGCCATGACCGTGTCGGCGCCCTTCATGTAGAGCCGGATCTCGCCCGAGCTCGTCTCGCGCACGATGATGCCCATCCGCTTGGTCTCCGAGGTGAAGGGAAACACGAGCAGGATCTCGTAGTCGAGCGTGTGGCCGGCCGGCGTGCGCAGCCGCATGCTGCTCAGGTCGCGGTGCACCAGCGTCAGGTTCACCTGGCCACGCGAGGTCAGGTCAGGTCAGGTCGCGGTGCACCAGCGTCAGGTTCACCTGGCCGCGCGAGGTCAGGTCAGGTCAGGTCAGGTCACGGTGCACCAGCGTCAGGTTCACCTGGCCACGCGAGGTCAGGTCAGGTCAGGTCACGGTGTACCAGCGTCAGGTTCACCTGGCCACGCGAGGTCAGGTCAGGTCAGGTCACGGTGCACCAGCGTCAGGTTCACCTGGCCACGCGAGGTCAGGTCAGGTCAGGTCACGGTGTACCAGCGTCAGGTTCACCTGGCCACGCGAGGTCAGGTCAGGTCAGGTCAGGTCACGGTGCACCAGCGTCAGGTTCACCTGGCCGCGCGAGGTCAGGTCAGGTCAAGTCACGGTACAGCAGCGTGAGGTTCAGCTGGCCGCGCGAGGTCAGGTCAGGTCAGGTCACGGTGCAGCAGCGTGAGGTTCAGCTGGCCGCGCGAGGTCAGGTCAGGTCAGGTCACGGCGTGCCTAAGTCTGGCTCACATGGAGAGAGGTTAGATCACTGGGGCCGGTGTCGTCGCAGCGCGCTGACGCCACTGATCTGAAGAGAGAGGTCGTAGGAGACCAGACCAGGTCATGACCACCAGTCCGCCTCGCATGAAGGTCAGGTTGATCTAGAGGAAAGCACCAAGTACTGCAAAGCACTTCCAAAGCAAAAGCAGAGCGGGCAAGCCCGAGCTTTAAATCCATGGAGTCGGACACGGCAGCGCTGTCTGTAGCTAACCGCAGTCTGCACGGCACGTCCGGTGAGGAGTGCACACCAGCGCTGCCCAGCGCCAGGGAGCACTGGGTGTGGGTGTGGATGTGGGTGTATGCATGGGTGTGGGTATGGATGTGGGTGTATATAGGGGTGTGGGTATGGATGTGGATGTCTGCATGTGTGCGGGTGTGGGTGGGTGTGTGGGTGTGGGTTGTATATATGTGTGCGGGTGTGGGTGTGGGTGTGGGTGTGGGTGTGGGTGTGGGTGTGGGTGTGGGTGTGGGTGTGGGTGTGGGTGTGGGTGTGGGTGTGGGTGTGGGTGTGGGTGTGAGCGTGTGTGAGCGCGGGTGCGGCGAGCGCGCGCACCTCCTCGGTCCAGGTGACGAGCGCCACCTCGTCGGGCGAGCTGGCCTGGTAGACGACTGGCCGGCGCGCGGCGCCGCCGGCCGGCGGCTGCTCGCGGCCCGACTCCAGGTCCGGCGACAGGCTGCCGCCGGTCGAGCTGCCCTCCGAAGACGACAGTGGGCTGGCGTCCTCGTACCTGCGGCGGCCGGGCGGCGTCACGCGCCGGCGACGTCAGGCGGACGGCGCCACAGCCCACCCCCGACACCGCTCAGGAGTGCACATCGGGCACGAACCGGTGCCGGACATCACACGTGTGGAGCTGGCCAACAGGCGCGACGCCAGCGCTAGTAGCGCCAGGCTGAAATAGCCTCTGCCAGCCTGTCTGTACCGGCCACAACGCTCGGCTCTCGGTCCATCGCTGAAAGCATACTAAAACTGGCTATAGAAGGAGGCCTAGGTCATCGTGGAATCCAGTGCAAGTGTCAATGGGGCATAGGTATAAGATTTGATTTAACCCAATTACATCACATGCAGCGGACGTTTTGATCATGCTGTTGGATTCGTCCGCTGGTCCTGGTCTTTGGACTGAGTAGCAAGCGCTAGGATATCAATGTGGCGGCATGATTGAAAACGAGGATACACCACTTCCTTACCTCCGTCAATTTGTGCAGGTCTTAACTGGTAAAAACGGTAAAACAATAAACTGGCAGGCACCAATTTCAGCAGGCCAACAACGAAATAAAACAACGAAAACAAAAATGCCAACACTGCGCGAGGGACGTTCGACACGAGTGAGAGGCATCCAGTGTCAGTAAAAGGCACGCGTCAGAACCGAATAGGAGTTAGATGTTACACATCTGTTCACCGGAGACTTCAATACAAAGCAAACGCACGACTATCGGGCAGATATTATGCGCACGTAGGCGGCGGATGTCGACACGAATCTGAAGAATGCCTTACACAGCACCCAAGAACATCTCATAAAACTCGAGTAAGTGCACCGCCCGCCATCAGTCAGAAGCAAGAATCAGGACAATGCAATAAGGAAAGGAGGAATCTGGACACGCGAGCCAAGTACACCACACACAACAGTAAACCACACCAGTGTGACGCATCAAAAGCAAACAGCCAGCCGGCGTCCTCCAGCCCCAGCCGGTCGGACGTCGGCCGCTCGCCAGCGCCGGTCCACCGACTCACGTGGGCGTGACGTTGTGGCAGAGGGCGAGCGCGCGCACAGCCTCGGCCACGCGCGCCACCATGGTGCGCCGCGTGCGGCCGCCGCCCGGCGGTCGGCCAGCGGGCGGCGGCTCGGCCGGCGGCGCGAAGTGTTGCTCCACCAGCGCCTTCACCTGCGCGCAGAGCGGCGGCCGGCGCGGCCGTGGTGACCCGCGACCCGGAGAGCGCGGTTACGGCGCGAGGCGAGCGGCGCGGGCGCCGATGACGACCTCAGAAACAACGTTCGAGACAATACATTCCCGCTAACGAATATGACAAGGGTTATACAATGTCTTGCACGTCAACAGCACCCAACATTTGACTGTTCGTACCGGCAATTCCTTTGTGGCTAGTGCCATCAACAAGTATATGAAAACAAGCAAGCAAGGTACTGCCGGCGTTTGGAAACTGTTTACACACATTTACCCGCCGCCGCCCCCCCCCCCCCGTGTTCCGCGGGCGCCCAGAGCCGCTGTCAACAATATCGGCCGCGTTTGTTGTCAGCCCCCCTTAACGCCACGCACCACCTGCCGCAGGCATTCCCAGCCACGGTCCCGCATCTACCGCCTCACCTCGTCGAACGTGTCGACGCCGTACGACACGGTGCCCATGTGGATCTTCTTGAGCGCCATCTCGTTCTGCGTCAGCGTGCCCGTCTTGTCCGTGAGCAGGTAGACGATGCGGCCCAGCTCCTCGGGGATCGTGGTGGAGCGCACCACCGCCTCCGGCATCTCGGCGTCGCGCTGGATCGTCCACGAGTAGAAGATCTTGCCCATGTCCAGGTTGACCCGCAGACTGCGACGGAGCGGGCAAGGGGATGAGCCGCTCGGTCGGAGCGGGGGCGGCGCCCAGGGGCTCTATACGCCTCAACACTTCACAATGTTAGCGTGCATACCGTCGATTGAATGCACATGTTTCACTAACCACAGCTCGCCGTTTTCCACGTCGCTTTTCGTCTAAAAGCACCATGCGTTGTCAGTGCGCATGGCAACATAATGACGTCTGCACTCCTGTGTCTTGGAGCGTATCCGTTGAGTCAAACATGGCTTTCTTTCAGAGATTGAAAGCGACGTCATCGCAATAGTGGACATTTCACGTATGGGTTGGTGGATATTTTACGCGTGGGTTTGGTGGACATTCTACGTATGGGTTTGGTGGACTTTCTACGTATGGGTTTGGTGGAAATTTCACGCATGCGTTTGGTGGAAATTTCACGTATGCGTTTGGTGGAAATTTCAAGCATGGATTTTAGACATGCTCCAAGCATTTTCCGCAAGATGAGAAACCAACTTCTAAAATGTACCCAGTTTCGCGCAGCAACTTGTGCTTAGAGCTCGTTAAGTGAACAGCTTACAGCAGCAATGCATTTTTAGGATTTCGCAGGCCTTCGTAAGTTTGCGTGCACTTGAAAATGTATTTGAAAAAATCTTACAATCAGTAGATCGCTTAAGGTCGAAAGCTCGCTGCCTGCACGCAGGTGACCACGCGTGTTCTTATTTCATGTCAATACGTTGAACCGAATAGAGTGAAAATGCATGTGACACAAATCCCATCCGCTTCTGCGTAATTATGCGACAAAACATAAATTATATTGAAGTGAGCGCTAAGCAATGGCACAAATTGAGTGCCTAATCAAGACTACCACCAGACAAGGCTACTCCTAAGCAGTGTACCCCAAAAGCTTATCCAATGTCTGCCGCCACTCACCTGAGAGGTATGATGTAAGAGAAGAGGAGGACGAAGCGGAAGAGGTAGCGGTACCACGGACCCTGCCAGCCCTTCAGACACATCATCACCACCGAGAGCGCCAGCACCACCCCGAACAGGATCTACGGAGAGAACCGCGACACACTGTCATCGGCAGAATCCACGGTGGGACGAGGCGGCAGAAGCCGGCCGCGTCGCTGCCCCACTGGGCACGGCGACAAGCACTTCACCGCAACGGCACGTGACAAACCTGGGAGCACGGCACAAGCAGAACCTCAATGTCACTTTCTCTCACAAGCCAACTGCCGTGTAGAAGAAACGTGAGCGGCGCTTGAGACCAGCCGGTCCACAAACTCAAAACAACACACCGGCAAACCGAGCGCGACCCCCGGCGCGTCCAGCACCGCGGGCCGCGCCGGCAGCACGCGGAGCCGCGGCCGCACGGACACCGCCACATCCTCGCCAGGGCCGGCGCCGCGCCCACCTTGGTCAGGTTGTTGATCTCGGTGTCGAGCAGGCCGACCTTGCTGCGCGGCGCCGAGTTGTTCATGACGGAGCGCGTCTCGCGCCCGGTGTACACCACCAGACCCAGCGCCGTGCCCGAGGCCAGCACCGTGTTGGCCCACAGCGTGTTCTCCACCGACAGGCTGTCACTGTCGTTAGAGGCGTCGTGCTGCCGGCCGGGTCACGCGTCAGCACAGGGCGCGGCCGTCGGTTCACGAGGTCACACTCGGACAGTTGCTGGGAGAGGAAAACGTTGCTTTACACTAGCGGGTATAGATCAACCGGCGGAACGACGCAATACAATTTGCATTGCCTCCACGTCAATGCATTGCTTACATGACGCGTAAAAACATTCTGATCATCGAAGAGCCAATTTCGCGCTTTGGATATCATTAAAGATACACCACATGATACGTGGCCTGCGCGTAAATCATCAGTTCTCAGCTGCGATCATCGTCTGCACCCGTGCCGTCTGCAGTCGCCGCTGACCCGCGTGAATGTGCCGATGAAGTTGTGGATGTCCTTCTGCGGCTTCTCAGCGTACACCTCGGCGTCGATGCCGAAGAGGTGGGTGGAGCGCGCCAGCTTCTGCGTGGAGGAGACGGCCAGCCGCAGCTTCCAGTCCGTCTCGCCGTCCAGCTGGTCGGTCCTGCAGCAGCACGCGCCGACGGGGCCGGTCATGGCCGGTCGGGGTTAGGGTACCCGAAGTAGACTATGACAGGTAGGGCTGCGCAGATGGGAGCAGAACAGGGCAGAACGGGAACGGGGCAGGGCAGGGCAGGGCGGGGCGGGGCGGGGCAGGGTAGGGTAGGGCAGGACAGGACAGGACAGGATAGGACAGGAAACGATAGGGTACAATAGTATACCATAGGATGGGATAGGACAGCAAAGAACAAAACGGAGTAGGAAAGGGCAGGACAGGGCAGGGCAGGACACAGTAGGACAGGACAGACAAGACAGGACAGGACAGGACAGGACAGGACAGGACAGGGCAGGGCGGGGCGGGGCGGGGCGGGGCGGGGCGGGGCGGGGCAGGGCAGGGCGGGGCGGGGCGGGGCGGGGCGGGGCAGGGCAGGGCAGGGCAGGGCAGGGCAGGGCAGGGCAGGGCAGGGCAGGGCAGGGCCAGAAAAGGACAGGTCAGCTAGCATCTGATCCAGTCCGGGCAAAGCAGGGTCGAGTGGGCAGATCACGCCACAGTACTGGTTGAGCCCATTTGACTGACCTTACCTCTGTCGAGGTAAATACAGGGGAACAGGGCGAGCCGGCCAGCACAAGACGGGTCAGGCCATATCAGACCAGTACAATTAAGTCACCCCAGTTCACATCAGCCGTATGACACGTTAAGCCGCAGACTCTTAGATAAGCTAGGAAACAGAGCCAATGACACAGTGTGATGCACACCAGCTGTGTCTATCCTGGCCTCGGCGATACCCCGACATCACGGACACCCCTGATCTGATGAAGCAGGCGCCACTGCGTGCGGTGGTCCGTAGCAGTACCGTGACCTGACCCTGACACTGGCCTGATGAAGCAGGCACCACTGCGCTTGGTGGTCCGTAGCAGCACCGTAACCTGACCCTGGCCTGATGAAGCAGGCGCCACTGCGCTCGGTGGTCCGTAGCAGCACCATGACCTGACCCTGACCCTGACCCTGACCTGATGAAGCATGCTCCGCTGCGCTCGGTGGTCCGTAGCAGCACCATGTCGGCCGGCACCCGCTGGTTCTTCTCGATCAGCAGCATGTCCCCCACGTGGATACGGCTGCTCGACACCTGTCCAGCACGAGCGACAGTGAACAGCAGCGCTAGTCATCTCCTCCGCACAGGCGGCAACGGGGTCGCCTGTGCGGTAGGGCGACAGTAACCACCAATGTCAATAGGATGTATACCTTACCATGATAGTGGGCACTCTTAGGACATTTTTACAACACCATTTTTCAGCAATGGCGGTGTCCGACAACCGTATGACTGAAGCGCCTAGAAAAAGTGGCATGCTTTGACTGTGTTACCAACACGGCTCATGCGGACGCCAAAACAAGTAACCCCTAACAGACGGCGCGGGCCACGCGATAGCCACTTCCCAACGATACACCATCCATCCATATGCTGACGAGAAAGAGCATATCATAACACGCGGTGACAACTAATCTGTCCTCCAACTCTACGCAATGCAACTATTCCACATACATACGAACAGATGCCGGTGGCACAGGCCGCTCCTGCCGGCTCGGGTCATTGCCATAACCGTAGCCTGGTACTCCACCACACGCACCTTGACGTGGCCCTGGTTGGTGAGCTTGCTGTACTTGGTGCTGTTCATCTCCTTGTCGCGTCGGTAGCGCCGGTAGTCGTCCACCGCCTCCCGGATCATCGTCACCGCTATGACGAACCCCTGGCGGTCGTCACGACAAGTGTAACTGCCCATCGGCGCCGCCGGGCGGCGCAGGTGAAGCAGGACTCGCATTTGGAGCGCCGACCGCGCCTTATCTGTGACAGCGGGAATGGAACACGTGTCCCAAGTGCATGCTTGAGAGTATGACTAACGTCCACAGCTGAGCGCGGTCAGGCCCTGCCACAGTTCCTATCGTAGCCAAACCGAGATGCTACTGGCCACGAAAGCCTGCGAGGTCAGCAGGCGTCCCTCGCGCTCTCGGCACCGCCGGGTCGGAGAGCAACATCAGCCACCAGCGGCAAGTCAGGTCCGATTAGCGGCGTACAGCTTTGCCGTCCAGGGGCAAAAAGGCTTAGGTGCTATGTTAACTGATGGCCCTTCGACCTTTTTTGCCTTTGGACGGCGGAGGCCGCTGCTGCTGATCACTCGCCCGCTCGCTCGCCAGCTCCTGGCGAGGCAGCTCCATGAATGCTAAACGGGTTACAAATTTAACCTGAATGACGTAACCAAGGGGGGGGAGGTTGGGTCCATGACCCGTGGCCCCCTCAGCCAAGAAGTTTACATTAGATACTGGCCGATTTCGCAGGAACTCGTCACAATTCGAAGGAGTTCGGGGAACATCCGACAATCACTACACTCCCATCCCAGCGCTCCTGCGGAAATTTTGATCTACGTGCCTGCGTTAAGATCGACCTCACACTGCTGACACGAGCTAACGCTACATCTTCGGCGGCGGAGCTACCAACGCCAGCAGCGTCGCCGCTTCGCGCAGCCCACCACGCGTAAATCTCTCATCCCCTTCGACAAAATGGCCAGCGTGGCCCGATGGCATGAAACGGGGACAGCATGCATGTCATGGACGCGGCGATCAACAGCCGTGGAGACGTCTGACGCATTAAGCGAAGGTGTGACGCATGTAGCGAATGTATGACGCCTGCATAAGCGCGTGGCGGGGGGATGGCTGGTAAAACCGCCCACGTGTTGTTGTTAATTGGGGTTTTTGGGCGCGCCGACTGCACAGGTCATATTGCGCCCATAGCCGTGAGCCACCCACGACCTCAACCTCTGCGACGGACCGGCTAAAGGCCGTGTAATGGCGGCCTGACGCATGCGCAGTCAAAACTGCACGGCTAATCACAAACAGCTGTCGCACATCCTGAGTCATGGTCTCCGAGAGGCTCTGGGCCGCATACAAGACACTTGATAGCGGGCCTATCAGCTGGGCCACTCACAGGCGCTATCGCTCGCTCGACCTCCGACCGCAGAGGGCGCACCCGTCACCACAGCCGCTAGCTGAACCCCGGCATCAGCCGGCGGTCGGACACGAGCGGTGAGCCCGGCAGGCGGAGCTTACCAGCGGCCCCCAGTAGGTGTATATGTAGCCCACCCGCAGCTCCGGCACAAACTGCGACAGCGCCATGACCAGGAAGAACAGGTTCAGGAACATCTTGAACTGCTCGTACAGAACCTGGGAACAGCGCGGCGTGGTGACACACTCGACCGGACTCATGTCATTCAGGAGATATCAATGGCCTTGTGGGAAAAGCAGTGCCGCGCCAAGCCCGCTCGGAACCTACGTGCCGGCTGTGATACATGAAAACGCTCGGAGAAGCTCGTAATGGGGCAGTACAGGACACGCTATTCAGAGTGATTTCGGTCCATACTGAACCAGCCACGCTTGCCCACACAGCGTGAATAATGCTTACACCTGTACAAAAACCGGCATCAGTAAGTCACAGAATGAGAAGGCCCCCGAGATTTCAACAGCTATTCACCAGCAAAATACAACCGTCGTCGTCTTCAGTGGGATCACCCGGAACCGAGCTGGGCCTCACCAGGCAAGAACGTGCACACCGCGCCTGTACCCACAGCGTTTCATGGCGCGTGCCCGCGCCCTTCAGCCGTTCTCACCTTCGGAATGAACGTGATAATGTTGTATTTCTGGTTTTTGATCGTGTTCGGTGGAAATTTCTCTGTGCAGGGGCGTCCGACCCGGACCAGCCGAGCCCGGTAGTCGCGGTCCCCGATACAGGCCGAGAACAGCCACTGGAAACAGCTGGGCACGGGCGGTCCGTGTTAGCAACAGCACCCGTCACCACAGCCGAGCAGCAACGGGAATAGCCGCTGGCCATTCCGCACACGATCCGCGGGCAACAACAGCACGCGTCGCGACAGCCGAACAGCCGCGGAAATGGCTGCTGCCGCACGGAATGCGTTGGCAGCAATTTCAGCACGTGATACGGCAGCAAAAGACACTAAAAACAACTGTCGACAAACAGCCTATCAGTGACAACGTACAATACGACAGCGGAGTAGTCATCGGAAACAGTCGTTTCCACATAGCCCACGTAAGCAACAGCACAGGGTACGGCAGCGGACCGACGGTACGACAGCGGACCGACGGTACGACATCGGAACGGACACTAGCGACAGGTGCCAACACAAGGCCGCCTATCAGTAACACGGCACGAGGCAGCGGCGGGGCAGGCGCTGGAACCAGCCGCTTATATGCGGCCGCTTGTGCCGTGTTACGCGCCCTGTCAGCAACGGCGCATATTTCAGCCGGCGACAGACAATGCAAACAGGGGTTTCAGAGTGCAACAGCGCGGCACCCACGCCGGTATGAGCAGACGGTGCGACAGCGGAATGGGCAAGAGAAACAACCGTCGAAACATGACCCATGTTCGCAATTTGCAGGACAATTTCAGGACAGAAACACATTCAAATCAATTCAAATTTAGCCACACCCTTGTGTGCTTTTCACTCATACTTGATCAGACGGGTCCAGTTTGATCGATAGTCTTTGTTTTGTTTTGTTATATCGATAGTTTTGCGAAATCCCTCCAAACATGTCAGAATTTTGATTCAACGTTGGGTTGGTGGGTTTTCCGACTGGAGACATCCCACAGGACTCCCTGCTCACAACTACGAAAGCAATCCCGGGTGGAACGGAGAACAATTCCTGATTCAATACACATATGATGGAGTCAAACACCACACCAACACGTGCTTCTTCATTCCATTCCACACCACGTGCCATTGAGTCTGAGTTGGTCTGCCCCACGCTCACTTGGTGTTATGGTTCTACTCAGCACGGAGCGAGAGGTAACATTTGTTAATTTCTATCGGTCGACGAGATCCAGTCACCACACAAAGACAACTTAGATTTCGCTTCTTCGAAGCCCACCACGCGCAGTGAACAATACAGTTGTGCGCCTGTGGGAGAACCTTCTGAGAGGTGCTTGTACTGAACCAAAACACACGAAGATGGAGGAGGGCTGTCGGAAGGGACGACATAGTGCATTGCAAAAATGTAGTCTGTCACTACTACGGACTCGCCAAAATCCGTCCAAGAGAACCCTCAGAAGGCTGGCACCAGTCCCACAACCTTACCGGGAATTCTATAAATACATTAGGCCTGAGCCCGATCCTGACTTGTGAACCGCACCTGGGTCGGCGACGAGGCCCGCTTCCATCTGCATTGGGCAGCGGACGTTCGCAACGTGTGATTTTGCCTCAGAGCTGCCAGACACCGTGCTGGGGAGTTGGCTGCGCAGCCCATGGGCGACAGCACGGCCCGTCATGGGTTCAAGCGGCCGGATTGGATCGCTCTTGTTTCAACGCGCTGACGGCTCCATGACCACCGCCAACAAGGAGCGGCATATCTGCATGCAGCGCTTATGCAGGCTGTCTGAGCAAGACCGCGAGGGGGCAAAGAGGACATTGGTCCCTACCTGACACCGCAACTCCCCCATACAACCGTGTTGGCACCGATCTGGCGGGAGGACCATTTCGGAGAGCGCATCATCAGCTGAACAGACGCCCAATCCGCGATCGGCTCACTCTCCTGATCTGAGCCCTCTCCCCGTCCCCCAGATGTGTGTCTGTGGGGTATCCTGAAATAAAGTCTGCAGCGAGAGCTCTCAAGCGCTCTAAGAGTCCTCACAGCCTCGATGATTTGATTGGGGATGTCGGCCACGCACCGCACAAGACCGTAGCTGACGCTCGCGCCCGGGCGACAATTTGGGGGTTTCGGACCCATCGACTGCAGTGGGTCACGCATACATCGCCGCCTCCTCCGAAGATGGGGTCACCTGGAGCACGTGCCGTCAACAGCTCCCCACGTCATGACTGTGTGTGAACGATTGATGACAAACATTTCAATTAATTCGGAAGACCTTTGCTTTAGTGCATTCGATATGCGACGTCATTGCTATGCCACGCGCAAATAAAATTCGGACATTTTTCCGCTCTGTTCGTTACATTTGCTTTGCTTTTTCTAGCAGGCGGGTTCTTCAATGTTGGCAATGTACGGAGAGGCGAAAATGCTCGTGCCATACACGGCATGAGAACTCCAAACACTGAGACACAACATTCTGCTTATACATCTTGTCGGTGCTGCTGTGGTACCCCGCAGACTATCACTGTGCATTAATGGTCCCGATCTTTCAACAGAGCATGCAGGTTTTTAAACGCTCCAAGAGTGGCACACGCCCTTTAAGGTTGAAGCAAAAGTGGCCGTACGATGCGCTTCTAATGGCATTCAGGCCAATAGCTTCATTGGCCAAAAATGGGTAAAATATCGTGAGTGCTTCAAGTGTGTATATGCATGTGTGTGTACGTGCGTGCCTGTGTGCGTGCGTGCGTGCAGTTAAGTGCGCGTGTGCAGTGAAGTGCGTGAGTGCTTGAAGCTCTGTTCTGCGTCACACACGGATATGTGAGGCCCCAGCAGAATGAGGAACGACGCAACTGAGCGAATCACTCGCCCAGCTACGGGTTCGCCATGGCTCAAAGGCCACATCCAGGTGTAGCCAGTAATAATGTCCCGTTCATGTCCGCCAAATGAACCCAGGTGACCAGCAGGACATACATAGTCCCTAACCTTCATAAATACGCATTTTCTTTCCTCCGATGGCGTCCATGGTGCCTGTTAATGCAAGACCTCTACTGGTTCATAATCCTCCCATCATTTCACTTTGTTAACGAACGCGCTGCACGTCGTCGCGCACCCTTTTATGGAACGCCAGTGAATGCGGCGGTTGAATTAACGCCCAAAGGTCATGGTACGACAGGGATTCGAACCGACGGCCCCGATCGTGGGAGCTGACGGCGCTAGCCACTCAGCTATTACGCCCGGCAGCATATATATATATATATATATATATATATATATATATATATATATATATATATATATATATATATGTATATATAACCACGAACAGTTCTACCGTCCAGATGCAAAAAGGCCCAAGAGCCACTAGTTAACAAAGCACTTAAACCTTTTTGCCTTTGGACGGCACAGTTCGAGACATTCAAGATTATAAAAACATGGTCATGTCATTGATCAATGGCCCAAATGTTCACACCTAGTGTTTACAACCCCAACTACTAATCATCATCAATGCTTTAAACCCGTGATTCATAAGCGCTAACATCAGCTTGAGCGGACGATACGCAGCTCGCGACAGGAGATTGTCGTCGATAATGGCCCATTACCAGAAGCTCCCGCCGGTATTTTGCCGCAGAACATCACGTGAGCGTAAACATAACTTGGTATGCAACCCTTGGCATTCTACCGAAGTACACCACGTGGGCGCGGAAATGCCTCGGTATGCAGTCATCTCACCAGATGACGCACCAATGCTAGGAATGGCCTTGCCGCTGTCAGCTGCTGACAGGAAGTCTCTAGCTCGCCGCGGCGTGCAGTTTAAAACACGCGTTCGCAGGGCGCGGCCGGCCGTCATTCACGACAGGGAGAAGAAGCGCCACTTGGCCAGCTATCCACAATCAGACAACTTAGCCAGTTGCGGCCTGCGAAAGCATGTTCTCGAACTGTATGGCACGGCGGGTGTGTGCTCCGCTATTAGTGCCTGGCAACCACATTGTACGGCGCAAAGCAAAGCTTAAAGTATGTTTGTGTCATCTTGCAAGTCTACGCATTTCAAGTATGTACACACTCGCATAGTGGACTTCGGTTGAATGCTGACAGTCACGTGGCAGTGGCTCAATTAGGAGTTCTGCATGCTCGGAGCGATGCCCCAAGCATAGAGATAAATCAGGGGTTATGCACATTAGAGGCTTCGATGCAGATATGCCACGCCACACCACAGGGGGGAGAGGCGCAGGACGATAAGCAGGACCAGGGGGTGCGCGTCGGTCCAAAACGGCTGTGACGGAGGCAAGTTGACTGCAATGACCGTGCGGATGCCATGACGTCATTGGGGCTCCGGCGACCGACAGATCGCCGAACAACGCACAACGAGATGGCGCCTACAAAGCGTGTAATTCCAGTCCAATGCAGGCTCATTGAGGTCTCCAACTGATGCGCACTCTCATCTCTTTACATCGGATCCATAATAACGCACGTGCATTGCCAATCGCCGATGCACGGCGGGTGGTCCAGATGACCGACTTGTGACACTTGTCCGTCGTACAATACCCGGTGCATGCGGTTGGCGCATTTGCACCACCCGTATGCACCCGCCCACGCCAAATTCCCAATGACGTCACGGCGCCCGCGCAGTCTGATTGACTAATCTGAATGAACGTTGTCACCCTCTCCGCCGCACGTGGAACGAGCTGAGCGCACCCCGGCTGGACAGGAGGGGCGGTGGGCGGGACGGGCTACCGACCGGGAGAGGTGTCGACAGGGCGCCGCGCAGCACAGCCGCCGGCGGCCGGAGATGAGGCGGGTGTGCTCTGACGAGCGCCGACGGCCCGAACGGCTTCTCGTCCAGCTCCAGGTCCTCTTCCATCATCGCGCCACGCCGCGAGACGCACCGCGTCACAGCACGCTGCGTCAGGGGACGCCCGTCACG